GGGGGGGGGGGGGAAGATGACTGAAATGTGAACTTGTATTTCTGTTTCCAGAAAGATGGGGAGCATACCTGGGTTCTGACATGACCTCTGCAATCGTCTTTCCCTGGACTCACACAGGGCCCCACTTGGCCACTGCTTCCTTTTTTGCTTGCCTGGTTTGTTTTCTACACAGACCCAAGTAATTTTAAGCGGAAATTAGCTCATGTCAACCCTTCTGTTCAAAACTCCACACTGCCTTCCCATCACATCCAGGATGAAATCCCAATGCCTCCATAGTGTGAAGGCTTGGACAGCCTGGCACCAGTCCACCTCTGACCTCACCTCCTGGCCCTCTCCACCCAGACCACTCCAGCTGTGCTGAGCTTTTCTCACTCTTCTTTCACCGGCCCAAGCATGTTTCTGCCCCAGGATCTTTACACAGCTATTTCCTCTGCCTAGAATGCTCCCACCCCCAGTTGCCCTACCCAGGCATGACTTAATCCCATCATTCAAGGCTCAGGTGTCACCACCTCAGAGACCTCTTGGAGACCACCTCCACCTGTTTTTCCTTTACCTCTTCAAATGATTAATTAAACTGCATACTTCAAAGTTCAGATTTCCTTTGTTTTCCCCTAATACCCATTTTCTGTTCCAGGATCCCATCCAGAATACCAGAGACATCTAGTCATCACGTCTCTTCAGGCTCCTCTTGGCTATGACACTCTCTCAGACTTTCCTTGCTTCTGATAACCTTACAGTTTGAGGAGAACTGGTCAGGTAATTTGTAGAATGCCCCTCAATCTGGGTTTGCCTGGTGTTTTCTGATAATTATACTGGGGTTATAGGTTTCTGGGAGGAAGACCACAGAGGGGAAGTGCCCTTCTCATCACATCGTATCAAGGGTACAGGGTATCAACATGACTCATGACTGCTAATGTTATCTGCATCCCTTGGCCAAGCGTATGTTGCTCATTTTTTTCCACTGGAAAGGTACTTTTCTCCTTTCATTCCTTGCTCTTTAGAAGCATGTCATGAAGCACAGATCACACTTAAGGAGTGGGGAGTTATGTTCTATCTCCTCAAGGAGGGGAGTAGCGCTACATAAATTATTTGAAATTCGTATAAATTTGTTCCCTCCTCCATCTTGATTTCACTTTATAGCATTTATAACTACTTGGATTTTATATTTTATATTTATTGGTTTCCTTGTTGCCTGCCTGCCTTTCCCCACTGGAATGTGGACTTCACAAGAGTGGCTGCCTTGTTTTCTACTTGAACTCCAGTGTCTAACCCAGGGCCTGGCACATGGCAGGTGCTCAATAAACATCTCTGGAATGGAAGAATGGACAAAGGAATGACTGGTCTAGCCCAATGCGGGAGGCTCTAGCAGCTGTGGCATATATTGGGGTGATCCACAGCCCTACCCATCCTGCATCCAATTTGTGCAGTGTTCTCACAGGGAGGTATCACATCCCCATCACCCTTCTGGGACTCTTAGGAGTGACTGCTTGAGACTATCCTGTGGCATGGAGTGCACCCCCTTCACGTTCACATGGGCCCAGACTTCGGCAGGGGCCGGGGGGCCTTGCTCTCACCAGCCCCTTCCCCACAACTGAGGTCTGGAGTCAGATGCCACAGACTGGAGTCCCCCATAGGGCTGTCCCCCACTACACAGGTGGGGGCTGACATGATTTTTAAGTAGTATGTGGACAAATGTTTTCTTTGCATAGTTTTGTATTTATTTTAATGTGCATTAGAAGAAAATTCTAACTGCACAGAAAATCTGTTCTTTTGTGGGTGTTTCTGCTTAGGATGAGGCTAAATTTAAGAAAAAAACAAGTGAGTGGATTTACAGAGAGCTACTGAGTAAACAGTAGTCCAAGAAGCACATGGATACGGCAACGAGCGGGAGGTGGTAGAGTGCTGTCTGGGAACAGTAATCTTCCTTGTCCTTGCATCTTCACTTCCACCAACCTCCTTCAGGTGCCCCAGCTACCCCAGTCCTCTCCACAGTGGGGTGCAGATACCTCTGTGGATATGCAAAATGATTCACTGGGCAGTACCTCTTTTATTTTTAATTATTCTCATCTTCAAAAAAATCTATTTTGTTGGTTTTATAATGTATATAACATTAGCACAGTAATGTCAAATGTATAATTTAGTACAAATAAATGTATACATATTTGGGAGATTCATGAATGAATTATGTATTTCTTTGTTTGCATTCATGGATAGGGTGTGCCAGCAAGGACATCTGAAGACTACCAAACTAAACTACTTGCACCAGCCTCCCACTCTGGTTTCTGCCCTGTGACCTTTGACCTGCCTCCTGCCCTACCGCAAGCTCCCCTTCCTCCCAGCTCAGTTGTCAGGGCAGGAACTCAGCTCCAAGGACCGCCCCCAAGTTACGGGGCCAAGCCCTAGTCCCTTGGCCTGCAGAGTAAGCCTGTTGGGGTGTTGCTGTTCCCTTTCAGTTGTTAATCTCCCTGGACAGTATCAGAATTCTGGAGCAGAGGAGAGAGGTTAAAGATGATCCAGCCCAGTGCTCATCAAACTTTGTTAAGCAGTTGGATATTATTTTGGACAATTTCCTGGGGCACACCACCCCGTAAGCCAATGAAAGCTGTTCCAGGTAAAGAGTGGGTGGGTCCCAAACGTCTCCAAACCACAGGTTCCCTCAAGCGTTCCTCAGAGGCCCCTAACGCTCCTTGCAGGAATTCTGGCACTTCACACGAAGCTGCCTGAGAACCACTGGCTTGGTCCTGGATACTGTATATGAGGAAACGGAAACCCAGAAGAGCAGTGACTTTTAATACAGCTAAAAAAGTAAAAGCAAAAGCCAGGACTGCTCCACCCCCTCATCTTGGACCTCACGTCCTGGTGCAGGCCCAGGCCTAGAAGGGCCTCTCCACACAGAATGAGGTGTCCAAACCTCGGCTGGGTCACCCTAGTTCTCAGAGCTGCACCCCAATCCCTCTTATATACTCCTGACCCAGCCAGCATAGTTGTGGAGTGAGCTGTTCCATTTAGATTAATTTTCTAGATGAATATAGAACAGTTCTTCCAATGCCAAACAATTTTATCCAAACAAGTCTTAAAAGTAGTGATTCTTACCTAGGGTCTGCCAACTCCCTGTATGCAAAAGGCTACATGGGCATGAGAGGGTCTCCCCAGGTTCTCACTGCTCCCAAATAAATTCTACAGACATCTTTAAAAGAGGATGCCAAAGAGGATTTGACTTTTTCTGGTGATTCAGGGTCAAGTGAACCACTCTTTATGCCACACCAGGACACCCGGCATGGTTCTGCATAGCTTTCTGCCCCCCGCCCCCCGAGATGACATCATGCCTGCTTCCCTCCCCAGGGTGCACATGCTATGCTGCTGCCTCTGGGAAAAGCAGATCAGTGGGCTCATGTGAACTCAGATCTCCACTGACCATCACTAAAAACTCAGGCTCCGGTGATAAACTCCCAGAGGGCTCCATCTGAACCTCAGTTATTATACCATGAGCCCCCACCCAAACCAGGTTTCTATTTTAGAGTCTGAAGGGACAATAACTTAGCCCAGCTCTGCTCAAACTTCAGTCATCTGCCTGCCTTTACAACTTTGCCATGTCTGTGTGTTGCTTGTACTATTTATTATTTACTTAATCATTTTATTTGAACTCACTTTTTTACTTAAATACATTTTATTATTTTTTAAAATATGTTTTTATTGATTTTAGAGAGACAGGAAGGGAGAGGGAGAGATAGAAACATCGATGAGAAAGAAGAATTAACATCGATTGGCTGCCTCCTGCACACCACCTCCCGGGGATCGAGCCCGCAACCTTGGCCTGTGCCCTGACTGGGAATCGAACCATCAACCTCTTGGTGCATCAGTTGACACGCTCAACCATTAAGCCACACCAGCTGGGCTACTTAAAT